GAGAGAGAGAGAGAGAGAGAGAGAGAGAGAGAGAGAGAGAGAGAGAGAGAGGACTGAAGTGAAACAACAAACTTACAAGAGACCCCGCTTCACCAGGGGAGAAAAAATGATAAGACAAATCGTGACGTAGCCTTTGCATCCTGACGCCATTGAAATCCCAAGGTGACATTCTTATTATGAATCCATTTCCTCCTTTTCTGTGTGTGCCATTTATAACAGAAGACACAATTTAGCCAAAGATCCCAAAGGGATTGAGAAGATGAAATCTCCGACGTCAATTGCGCCTTTTGGACCAACCCCTAAAAAATAACTTCATTAAAAATATTATTTTTCCAGCGGGGTGATGACGTAAAAACAGTATAATTTGTTGTGTCAAGGTTTTGCCGAACGATTTGTGTTTTTATATATTTATTTTCTTATATATCATAGATGCCCACAGGCTACGATGAAAACATATCCTGGACTTCTCGGAGCCAGGTGAATCAACATCTCTAGATCATAACGACCAATATCTTGTATCAAGACTATTTTTATGAATGCAGTATGGCACGTACACATATTTAAATATACACTATTGTACAAACAGGAATACAGTACAAATTCTGGACAAGTTCAGAAATCCGGATTTCCGGATTTACCCGGAAAATCGACAGGTGATATGTGCTCGTGAACGAAGAAAGAAATGACCGATGGTGACGACATATTCTAATTTTAAACTGCAGCTGCGTGCTTGGTTTGCAAGAACCTACAATGGGATCCTGGATAATAAAGTAAAGTATAAAGAACATAATATCTTTTTAAAAAATAATTTTTGACATTCATACGCAAAGTAGGCTGACACATAAAAATACGTAAATAGTTATAGATAAACACTTAACCCAGGTCTGTGGTGTAGCAGTCATTCTCCTAGCAGTCGATAGCAGAAGGCCTGCGTTCGATTCCCAAGGAGCGAACATTTTTGTCGAGTATCTCGGTCTTTCTGCTGAAATGTTGTATCCGTCCCATGCCGCTTTGACTCTTTTTAATGTTTTATCAAGCATGAAAAAATGGAATAGGTTTAACGCCCCTATCAACACTAATAGGTTATATATGAGGCGGGGCCTCCGAGTTTAACGTCCATCTCCGAAAAGACCGAGCCAAATTGGAAATTCGTGTAAAGTGTCTTTTCTAAGGACACAACCTCGGACCGGTAGACTAGATTAACCACCAGACCACCGACGACACTTTTAGTAGACGTTTTACGGCACTTGCAACACTATTAGGTCATATAAGCGCCGAAGATTAGAGGCGTTACAAATGTGTCACAAACACCAAAAAGAAGGAGAGATAAGGGCGATAGGTGCTTGATAGGAAATAAGAAGCACATCACACCAGAGCACCTTCCAACATCCCACAACGATGGCCTTGACAGGCAGGATCAGAAGCCCGCCTCCCAAACGATCTAAAAATATTGTGTCGATGTGGGCATTAAACACCCACATTTAATATTCAACACACACTAACATACAGAAGCATTAATACACAAAGACACTCATAAACACCCCCGCAGTCAGGAATTCACACATTTTGCAGAAAGATGAAGAGGGGGAGGGGGTAAATGAAGAGCGTGAAAATAAGAGGATAAAACACTCGCCCATTATACCCTCCATCCCTTCGATAAAGTGTGACAGTTGAGAGAGAGAATGACAAAGAGAGAGAGAGAGAGAGAGAGAGAGAGAGAGAGAGAGAGAGAAGAAAGAGAAGAGAGAGAAGAGAGAAGAGAAGGAACGTGGGAGAAAAAGAGAGAAAGAAAGAGCAAGAGAGAAAGAAAGAGAGAAGAGGGAGAAGAAGGAGAACTTGGAGGGGGGAGATA